TGTAACGTGTGATGAAAAATGATGTCTGTTTGTGAACATGAAACACCGGAAAGAACGGTTAAGCCCAAAAAATAAGCAAATAAGTTTTTCGAGTTAAAACCTGAAGATACCTACAGAAGAGGCATCGAGAAACTTGTTGAACGTTGGGAAGAGGTCATAAATAACCATGGAGAATACATCACTGATTAGCCTACTGATAATTATAGAGTTAAATATAAAATATCTTAAATTTGAAAAAAAAACGGACATTACTTAACTAAAGTCTAAGAAGATGGATTCAAATAAAGTGAGTAGTTTATTTAAAGTTGCATCTTACCAAAGTGCTTGTTTAGTTTTTATGAATGGTATGTATTTCCATAAATCGTCATTTAGTAAGTTTTTTGCAAGTTATAGCTTGTCAAAGTTCAATTTTTTTATTTTTCTATTTAAATAACTTCTTTCTTTCAAGTTCTATTAGTCTCTTATTTGGCACACCCACTAAGTAGATGATTGGACCAGTCAGAGAAAAGTTTCATTATGTGCCGTTAGAGGGCACTTTACCTAGAACTCAGAATTGGTTTTGTTCATAACTTTTTTCTTTTGCTACATGTCACAGAAATTTATACATTATTGAAAAGAGAAACAATATCAGAAAAAATTATGTACTCTTTGTTCAAGCCGATAAATGTAACCGTTTACCAGGTATAAATGTGTTATTACACATCAAAGTTTTAATAATTCTTTCTGGAAGCTTCTTTAGTAAATAAAATTAGCCGAAAAAAATTTAATATGGTGAAAAATCAAACATACCTACTTTAAACCATTGTTATTACAATTCCTAACACCAAAATTACTGATGACATTTATTTGCGGTGTGTGTGTGTGTGTGTGTGTGTGTGCGTGTGCGTGTGCGTGTGCGAGTGCGTGTGCGTGTGCGAGTGCGTGTGCGTGTGTGTGCGCGTGTCTGTGCGCGTGTCTGTGCGCGTGTCTGTGCGCGTGTCTGTGCGCGGGTCTGTGCGCGGGTCTGTGCGCGGGTCTGTGCGCGGGTCTGTGCGCGGGTCTGTGCGCGTGTCTCTGTGCGCGTGTCTCTGTGCGCGTGTCTCTGTGCGCGTGTCTCTGTGCGCGTGTCTCTGTGCGCGTGTCTCTGTGCGCGTGTCTCTGTGCGCGTGTCTCTGTGCGCGTGTCTCTGTGCGCGTGTCTCTGTGCGCGTGTCTCTGTGCGCGTGTCTCTGTGCGCGTGTCTCTGTGCGCGTGTCTCTGTGCGCGTGTCTCTGTGCGCGTGTCTCTGTGCGCGTGTCTCTGTGCGCGTGTCTCTGTGCGCGTGTCTCTGTGCGCGTGTCTCTGTGCGCGTGTCTCTGTGCGCGTGTCTCTGTGCGCGTGTCTCTGTGCGCGTGTCTCTGTGCGCGTGTCTCTGTGCGCGTGTCTCTGTGCGCGTGNCTAAAGTAATGCAAATAACTGATAAATAAGTAAAAACTTACCTGGGCATAACCCCGGCACAGGTGCTGTAACAAAGATGCCGACGGCGTCTATGCTTAAGCCGGGGATTAGGTCGGTGATTAAAAGGAAAGAAAGGGATTCTTTCCAGGTAGCCTTAATAAAGGCAGGTAGAATTTGCTCCTTGCACTACACTTTCACAAAACACGTGTGCTCTGGTCGGCTGCCCGCTAGGAACAGCTAAGTGTTTCGTGATTCAAGGTACCAGATTCAATTTCATTTTCTAACATATGCTAAATATCAAGTCTTATTTTATTAAATATACAATACAAAGCTAGTCAAGATCTTAGAACACATTGAAGCAGTACCGGTTTTAGATATAAATTGTCCCTAGGTATTCTTTTTCAAATAAAATAGCTGATCCAGTTTGTAATCCAAACACAAGTACATTAAGGCCGGATTTTATAATGTTAGTTTAAACTTGAAATAGGCGTTTAAACTGTGACCTTGAAAAGTGAACGTTGTATAAGCTTAGTTAATTAGTAGACTGACGTTTAAACTGGTGAGTAGGGTTTAAACGTTAACCTCTACAAAAGCTTCGTTTGAACCACACGTTGAAGTTAAACGCCACTATGGAAAACATTTTGTACCCATAGCACAGTGTTTTGGTAGGGTTAATATGTGCCCATAGATCCTAATTGTATCATAGACAGTCTAGAATTGTACAGAAAATACCATAAATGAGAAAGAGAGCATAACCTTATAAAAATGGAAATTAACGATGTAGTAGTGGATGTAGATGTTTTCGAAATGTTTGATGATATATTATCTCAAAGACCCAATCATATATGGAGTGTTGGAGTGAGGGTGAATTTATTAACAATTTATTCCATAGTTTCAATGCGTGTATTGCTAGAACAAATTCAGCATTTGTTATACGTAATAAGGTACGTACCTACTGAAGTGAAGTTACAGATTATGACAAGCAGGTGTGCCAACATTGCATTTCTTAAAATTGTTTATAAGACGTTTCTCTAATCTTTAGGTTAATCCGAAATTTAAACTCTGGTTTAAACTATGGATTAATCTTAAGTTTAAACGGTTTGTCGTATTCCAACCCTTCGAGCGAGCTTCAGGATTTCAGAACACTCAATATATTTCTAGACGTCGTCTTGTACCTACGGATATGCCTGAGACAGTTGAATTGGGAAGGAGGCGAAACACTCAAATTCGCCTACCTTTCCAATCCAAACCGAAAACCCGCCACGGTTGCAAAACTAATCGCCGTCGGCCGGGCAAATAAAAAAAGCCTCCACGGTATCATTTCAGACATCGAATTCGATACCGTCGGGGAGCAATTTCCGCGACTCTGCATCTCAGTGCCGACGTCGCCCTATAACATGACATCGATCCTTCCGGCGATAGCGCTTCCAAAGCCTAAGACCAATTTCACCGATGTTTCCAATGTCACCCGCATCGCGACCGATCTCGCCTGGGTCTGCCATTCCGGCGCGCAATATCCACTGCCGGGACTCTCACAACCTGCAGACGAACCCCGGGACGCTTCAAGGCGATATTTGGAAACTACCATCAAAATTTTTACCACCCTTTTGAATTGGTCAAGGACGCTATCGTCAATAACTTCAAAAGTTATGGAGCGATCGGTGTCAATTTAATGCAGCACTCCTCAAGTCGCTGGCATTATCTTCCTAAATTTTCATCCGAATCGGATGAGACAAAACGCCGTTATACGGGGAATCGCGGATTTTACGTTTTCCGCGTTTTTAGCCGTTCCGCTCATTCGATCTCGGCCGAACTCTCCAACCACACTAGAGTATCGCTAGGTGGTTGTTGTATCCAAATTCGAGCCGAATCGCGCGACTACTAACGGCCAGCTAAACCATAATAGGTTTCCACGTCTTATTAGCTACTGCCGAAGGTGTCCGCGCGATCTCGTCCGAACCCTCCAACCACGGCACTACTTCATGTCGTGCATCACTAGTCCACTATTGAACCAAATCCATCCAGTATTAAGACCTCGGTAAGCCCTTTTACGAAGACAGGGAAAATTTCACCGATGTTTCCAATGTCCCCGTCTTTGGGCCGAAAAGACCGTTTTCCGAGGGTCCCACCGCTCTGGCGGTTGGATGCGATGCTCGGTAGCCTAAGCCGAGACCGCGAGTAGAGTTTTCTCAAAATGGGAGAAAACTCCAAAATCCCCGAAGCCGACATCGACTATCCGGAGAGGCCAGAGGGGAATGAGATCTGACGTTGACAGCGGCGAATTGTACTTTTTATTGGAAATTTTGGCGGACGATTCACGAGCGGTCCGCCAAAAGTATGGAGATCGGAGGAAAGCGAGCGAACGTCTACTTCCGACATTTGCAGTTCTTTAGTGAGAGTACATGGTGCAAAGAACGACACAGAGCGATTATTGTAACAAATCTTATTCATGGTAAATAACTTGCGTTTATGTTAATTGTGAACCTTTATTGTCTGTTAATTCTGTTCAATATATACTTTTAACATATCTTCCACGGTTTGATTGAAAAAACCCTGTCATCAAACTCAAAACCTTTTGGAGCTCAAGCTCACAGGCTCGCTTAACGAGGCTCCCGTTGAGGCTGCCATTCCTCGACGCGGATATTTTTAGTGCCTAGCAACCACTACTCGCTTCACGGGACCATATCACCCGAGGTAGCCTAGCCTGAGGTGAAGACTCTGTTCGATAGCCCCCTGCATTGTAAAATCCAGGATCCTTTTGAGACCTGCGATACCGTCCGAGACTGACCACCTCCGACAAAGATCCTGTGCGATAGCCTCCTGAATCGACACAGCGATACCCCAGGCTCCTCCAGAGACCAGCGTACCGCCCGAGGTAGCGCAACCTGAGGCGAAGATCCTGCTCGATAGCCCCCTGCATCGAATAGCGATACATTCAGGCTCCTCCAGAGACCTGCATACCGTCCGAGGCTGAGAATCTCCGACGAAGACTTTGATTCCGATCGTGCCGGCTCCATCGAGAGACCCGCACCTCGATACAGAGTACATACATAGGCTCCTACGAGTCCTATAATTCAGACTCAATTGAGATCTGCATATCCGAGGCAACTTTCCTCGTCAAACCTCTAGGCGGTCACTCGTCGAGGCAACCTTCCTCGTCAAACCCCTACCAGGCATTTTCTTTGTGACCCACGGGTACAAAGCAATAGTACGCACGTTATTGTGACGGCGTACTTCCAAATTTAGTAGAAGTTGTCCTTGCTTCTTAGGGCTCCCTCGAGAGACCCACATTTAAAGTAGAGTCAGTGTTCTACAAGACTATTACAAGTCTTTCGGAGCAAAAGAGCTTGCTCCGACATTGTCGTACGGGGTAAGATGTATCCCTGTGACGCGACTTCGATATCCAGTGCTACGAGGATTGGTGCCCTCGAAGGTACGACAAATAATAAATGCGATCGTAATTCTCTGATTAAGACTGAGCTGGACGAGACCTCGTCCCCAACCGGAGAGACCAGCGGTTACACGGATTGCCCTCACACCTGTTTGCCGGCGAAAGATCTCCCGACACTCCGGGTGAAAGAGGAAATGGCCTACTTCCCCAACGTTATCTCGATGTTGCGTGAAGAGTCTGAGGGACCGAAGGTGGTAGCTCGCGGAAGTACGCGGCACAGCGCAGCCACATCGCCGTACGCGTTGAGGTCCGCTGCTACGCGAGTTAGCGATACCACCTCGACCACCCCTCACAACGCACTCACGGAGCCGAGTAGCACTCACACACACAGATACTCGGGACGAGGTTATACCTACGTACCAACTGGTAGGGTCCGGGGAATCCCATGAGCCCAACCACGGTTCGCGGTCTGCCCCCGATAGCGACCTACTTTCGATATCGGGTGTTCCGGGACATTGTTACGGTTTCCTTGTTAAAGAAAGAAAAAAAAAACAATATTAAATTAATTTTGTTTGTATACTTTTATGGCGATATAGGTACCGACTAAATAAATCGCCCGGTATATCGAATTTCGTTTAATAGTCTGACGTATTTTATCGGCGTGGGTCTCTTTTTTTGCGCGGAGATTCTTTCGTCGTTTTTATCGCCGAGGACGAGAATTAAGAAAGGTTGTTGTTGATTTTCGAGCATGGTGTGAACCACAAAATTCGCTAGATGAAGATTTATTTGCTTATTTCTGGGGAAAATACAGTGGTGATAGACCTTATTGCAGTTGTTACAACCTCGGTTGGAATTGCCCCAGAATTAGAAAATCATACTCTTAAACTTTTACTACGAGGCCGTCCTAGGACCGAGGTAAATATAATAATACATAATTAGGTACCTCTTGCATGAAAACCATTAGTCACGACATGGCGCCCAACGTGGAGCTCGATTAGAACTCCCGATGTCTCCACCGAGGACCCATGTCGATCAAACACTAACCAATGATCATATTACGTGACATGGCGCTCGACGTGGGGCTCGAAGCTCTGCTTCGTCGTCTTCGCGGCGAGCCCACGTTGCCGATTCTCCCATAATACTCAAATATTAGGCACTTCAGATCAAAGAAATCGACATGGCGCCCAACGTGGGGCTCGATTAGAACTTCCCATGTCTCCACCGAGGGCACATGTCGATGTTACTAATAATTCAGATCAAAGAACTCGACAGGTTATTATACAGCCCGGCCTAAGTGTCGTTTTTTTATTTTAACATTACGTAAAAACCATGTTTGATCTTTCGCCGTATGTAGAAGATGTGGTATCATATATAGCGGGCTTTGTAACTTCACAGGTTATAAAAATAATTTCTTGTGACATTTACAAAAAATATATAAAGGGACTCGTCTCCTTTTAGTATATAACAATAAGAGTTCACCATGAAACTTCTAAGGTTGTCAATGTATCTATTAGCAGTAAGTTTACAAAACTATATACATTTTGTAATAAACACGAAGTCACATGCATTAGCAAAATGTGGTATTTCTAGCTACTGATGATTGGAGTAGTAAAAATTTGCTTCAGCCAATTTCATCAATACATCCTTAATACATACTTAATTAATAAAAATCCTCAATCAATAAAACCTTAAGTATCCATAGGGTGTAAAGATATATATTTTTTACTTATAAACAAATTTTGTCTTCTTTTTTATTTTTTGCTAGAATCATCGCTTTATGACAGTTTGTTCCTCTTCTTGTTCTTAATTATTCTGCCACTACTTGGTCCCATGTTTTTTATGGGCCTGCCTCGTTTCCTCTTTCCTTTTTTTTGTTCAAAACATTTTCGGCTGTCTTTCTGTTCATAGCCTACCTTCGGAAATGACAATACAATGACGTTAACCGACAAACCGACCAATGGGAAAATGATCATAGCGCGTGCGTATAACACACAAAGTGCAACATCCCCAGTTTTTGGCTTCAATTCCCTTTCAAAATGCTTTGTATATGTATAAAAGTATGTGGGTCAAACGGATTGTAAGGCGACAGACTCCATGACAACCTCCTCCCAAAGATTATGATGTTAGAATGCCCTGGATCCCATCGGATGTGTCGTGTGGTCAGAAGATCCGTGGTCAGGTGGTTTCAGTTGCAATTGGGAAAAAATACTACGTGTTAGCAAGTAGGATATTTACAATAAATTGGTGTTTTATACGAAATCAATCTGATTGTCTGTGACTGAATAATAAAATTTAATGTACAAAATGTCTTAAATTTACTATTTACAATTTATGCTAAACTTATCTAGATTAGTAATAATATAAATGACAGTACGGTGTAATTTTAAAACTAAGGAAATCTAAACTAGTTTTGGTGTTTAATCAATTGAATTTGAACATAAAAAAATGAACAGAATTCGAAAATTTGTAAAAATAGATGTAATCAAAATATAAACAAAACTTCTGAAAATTTATTCTATTGATCAAAATTTAATTAACAAGAATTTACTACAAAAAAATATTTCCGAACAACCAGATCACATGTTGTGTATTGAAACCAAAAAATATTGATAATAAGAAAATATGTAACACCCTGTATTATTAAAACTTGTGGTCAAGTTAAATCTTACCCTTACAACCTGGTACGTAGGTAAAGTGGTCTAACAGAGAAAATAAGATAAAAGATACTAAAATTATTTAGATAATAAGACAAAAAAGATAATAAAAATTATATGAACTATAAGCTTTTGCATATGACTTGAATTCTGTAAGACAAAAGAAAGAAAAGATACGTATAGGCAAGTTTAAAGTTTCCACACTTGTGCGATCATAGAGAAGGATTAAATTTAGTTGTCTCAAGGAGTGAGAAGAAGTAAGCTACTTTTATTTATATAAAATAAGAAAAAATAAAAGGAACTTACCTCATCCAGATCCTTGATGTGGTGAGACAACCGTATTCCAGTCCAGACCATAAATTTGTGAGAGGTTCAGTCAAAACTGCAAGTCTGTGACGTAAGTGGAATTTTCTAACACCCTATACTTGTCAAGTACAGAGGAATCTACCCATAGAATTAAAAACACACAGTACGGGTTCTAAAACTTCACTTAACAAAATACTATTAAAATAATTAAACCACAGTTACGTAGGTACCAGTTTAAAGGCGTGTAAAATATTTCCACGTGTAAATTAGACAAAAATGAAGCGCGTTTCTAACATACGGAAATCGGTAGAGAGAGAATTATCGTACTAAATAGAGATGTGTAGTACGTGAACGAATAGTTGAAAAGAACTATTCACTTCCAACGAACTGAACGAACTGTTTCATCATTCTTTCAATGTATAGTTCGTTTTGAACTGCAAACGTGCGCGTGCGTCTAACTAGATTATACTATGTTCATAGGTTGAAACCGAAACCGACCGCGCCATTATTCCATGGCTAGAAATTGGCCTCAATGATTTGGGATCGAGGGGGATTATCCCTCTTTATCCTGCCTCATCTCGTGTAGGCCTGGACAGCCTTCGTAGGTGGGCCCCATCCGTCGTCTACCCCGACCGCAAATGCGGCCGGTGTAGGCGCTTTGTGGGACCTCCTTTTGTCCTGGCTGGGCCCCGCCGGCTAGGGCCCTTTCTTCTGGCGCTCTTCTTGCTTCGCCGGCTCGTCTGTGTAAACCCCGGGGGTAGTGTCATGTTTATGTGTGGTATGGTTGGGTAGGGTAGTGCGGCTATGCAGCCTGGGATGCGCTTTGCTAAGGTGGCCCTTAGGCTAGCGCGGGAGGG